CATCGGTTGCTTAGCCTTACGTTGCCCTTCCAAAGATCATCAGGAAGGCGTTGCGTAACAGATGTCATTGGTTAGTTAGTTGGTTGTACAGTGCAAGCAGAGAAGACAAAGACGCAGAAAATACTAAAGCTTTTCAAGTTTATTTCTCTTGCAAGGAAATTTTCCAGCTAGACTCAGAACTTTTACTTTTCTTCCTTCTCTTTTTGGTATTCTCTCAACAATAGGCATTCAAATTATGGTGTCGCTGCTTCTATCTTTATCATTTTATTGCTGCAAATGCTATTGCTAATTCACTTTATGCCGTGCATTCTGTAGGCTCTTTTTATTCAGTCAGTTTACGTAATAACCACTCATGTGTAGAGAACTCCATGCGGCATCATTGTCCTATTTGTTATGAGGTATTGTATATTAAGTGTATTCTTTTGCTGTGGATTCTACCGCCAATTATTTTCATTCATGCTGCCATAATTTTTGAAATGCAGTATCTCTTTGATTCTCTTAAGGACACAACAATACTGAAATGTAGGGCACACGATGCACAATCACGAGATGATAAAGCGTGACAAGTAATCAGTTTATTTTATTTATTTATAAAGTGTGAATCCACTTGTTTGAATAATTGCTCTTGTACTGCTTATGCTTTTGATGACAACAAATGTCTGACTTAGGATGGAGACCTCTTCAACTTGTAGCAACTCTCCGAAAATGATGCAAGTGGAATAACAATTTGTGTAAAACTAGCTGCTTCTGAATTTTTAGCTATTCACAGATTATATATTCATCCTCTTGGGATTTACTTATTTTATTCTATATGACAATCTTTCCTGTTAGCATGTTATCAGGAAAAAAGGCATTTTTTCTATATTTGAAAAAACTATTAACCTTAAACTCCCAAATTTATCTTCAATGACACTCATAGTCTTTTTTGTAGAATTTTTCTGCACACATGAAAGCTTAACAAAGGTTAATTACTCTTCCTAAGCACATTTCAAAATTTTCTGTTACTTCAAAAGGGCTCAAACCTCAAGACAGGTTTATAGCATGCTTGCAAATGTTTGAAAGTGCTTAAAAACCTTTTTGGTTTTCTAGTTTCAGTTAACAAAGTTTGAGCTGGAACAAAATAGTGTTATTCTACTTGTATTTCCCAAGAACTTATGTTTAACTTGTTTTAAAGAATCTTGTAAACTTAGAACTCATATCCTGCCTCAACTTCCAAATCTTCTCTTTCAGATTGAAGAGACAATCATGCCTGAAGATCTTAGATACAAGAAGGTACTTCTATTTTTTTCTTAACCCCATATTTGTGGCCTTGAACTGTTTTGGCAGTAACTTCACTTTTTTTGATGTCAACTTTAAATGGTTTTGGAATTGGTTTGATTTTGTTTAACTAATTATTGGATTATCAATCCTATTTTGTTAGTATATTATTTTCTACTTTAGTTTCCGAGATGCTGTTATCTTTGATTTTAATGCAAGTTTTACTTTGTTAGTCATTGTGTTGGATTACCAACTTATAATACTTTATTTGTTTGATTCTAGTTCTAATGTTAGCCAATTGAGTTTAACTATATTTTGGCAATAATATTTTTTCAAAGCTAGAAAGGCAGTGGTGTTTATTCATGATATACGTGGAAATAAATATGTAATTAAGCTTTTGCCGTGTGAATTTCTACCAACTTCAGCATAATGCCCTTTTTATATCAAGTGGCAGATTTAACTGCTAGAAGATTTTTATTTTGTTTCTTTTTTATGTAACCAGTCCCTTTCTCCGTAACTAAATTTGAGCATTTTGGATGTTTGCCTACTATGATTGACATATCATCAGAGAAATGCTAGTGTACTACAAGTTTCTCATCAAATATTTTAATTTCATTATTTCAGCTTGATGGAGGGTCTACTTTAGAGTACAAGGATCATCGGATGACAACAATACAAATCACCAAGCAAATACAAAGTACTATAAGTTTCCATTCCGAATAATAAATATTTGAGTTACCTTGCAGGAGTAGTTAGTATTAGTTTAGTTTGATTGGGATTTGAACAATTGATGTTTGTTAATTGTTATTATGGTTATTTGTAGTGAAGTTTGATTTATGATATAAGTTATTCAATAAAATTATTTATTTAATTCCATTATTCATTATTATTTTTTAAATAGTGAGATCATATTAAGGGGGTTATAAATCCCCATAAGTAATTTTTTTAAAACATTGATATTTTTTTTGTGGAGGTTATAAATTGTCACTAATTGTGTTGAAAACCCCTACAAATTAAAAATTCAATTTGTGGGAGTCGTTGTGGGGGTTTTAAAAAACCGCTTCAATATTGCTCGTGGCACTCATAACTGTGGCGTTTTTAAAAACCGCCGCAATACATTTTGTGGAGGTTGAAAACCGTCACAAATTGTCAAAATAACCCCACAAAATGAGCATTCTTTTTGTAGTAATATGATCCTATCCTGTTGATACTTCCTTACAAAATAATGTTCTTGATGTTTATGTATTCCATAAAAGGTCAAACTTTAACGTTATTTTGCATTAACTGCGTTGAGTTCTTCTGAACCTATTGAGAACTTTTCCCTTTCTACTCATAAAGAAAAAAGTTTTTTTATTCTTTCAACTAAAATTAAACTTGGCCCTTAAAAGTAACAATCAATTAAGGCTTCAAAGCGAAACTTTCCGCGGCTAATCACTATAAATATTTTTTTTGGGTCAATGTCCATTGCAGCATAAAAATGTGTCATCTACCTTGCTATCACTGTAACCTTCTTTATAATCTCTATTCTGTGCATAAATATGCAGTGGATTTAATTTAAGTGTAGGTTTTCACTGTATTTGGAATTATGTTGCCAAGCATTGGCTTCTTGAGCCAGTTGTTCCAGTAGCAATTCAAGCTCCACATTTTTGTGGTCAATATCTTCAACCTATGTGTCTCTTCTACGTTTGACAAGGACCTTTTCCTTATATGAGATAGTTTCAGGTTGATTTGCCTGAACTTGCTCCAAAATAGCTTAAAATGACCATTCATCCATATCATCTTATGTCTCTCTGAAAGTTTTGGAAGGTTAATAACGGTTCAAGCATGGAATGACTGTAATGAACAATTTAATAGCAAAATTATAAAGGAAGATAAAGAAAATGGAGAAACCTTAATGTCCGTAGCTCTCAGTTGATCCATGAAAGTTGACGCAACGGCGAAGCCAAGAGACGTACCAGAGAGGTGCAAGGCATCCTGAAGCTTCTTTAAAAAATGTAGCGATACTGACATGGGAAACGACGATATACTCGCATTACAACTGAGATATATTTGCCTTGGCCTACTGGAGCTGAATCCACATGTAAAACCATAAATCAAAATAATTTATGATGATGACGATATCTTATCTTTGTGCACATGCTCCTGCCATTGAGTCTATGACGTTAACGAAATTTCATGTTTTTTATGCATCATGTCGTCATGGATATGAACTAAAGATTTTGAAGTCGAATGGATGATAAATTTGTCTTTTTTACTTCAGAAAGAACATATGGAAGAAATCAATGATCTTGACTGTGACTATATATATCTAATTTTATTTAAAATTTTAAGCATTATCATTAGTCCTAATAATTAAGAGTGTGATGTATCCAATTTCTTGTATTTTGATTTTACCGTTTTGCATTTATTACACCTTTCCGAGGAAATCAAAGGTCTTTCTAAAAATTGACCATCTGAAATGTGTCCGACGTTTGTCTTTTTTCTTTCTTATATTTAACTTTTTTTTCTCTTGTTGTTTTCTCTATTAAAATGCACGTATAATTTACATTGTATAAGAAGTGCTATTGCAATAGTATTGAATGATGGCCAAGATGGTCATTTCACTTTTCAAGGATATTTTGGTATTTTGACTTTAGCCTGTAGAAGTTTCCCACTTTTATTATAATATGATGATTAATTGGATAAATTCGAGTTTTTTGGAAGGTTGTACTAAAGGAAAGGCAGTTTTGAAAGGTTGAATTGTTCCGGAAAGAGGTAATTGTCTTAGTTAACCTTATTTCGTGGATTAGGATGTGATTGTGTATATTTGTTACGTGCTATATATGTTGAGGAAAACGTATATACAAGGTGACGAGTGTATGTGCGCTGCTACGGATCAAGCATGCCGGTAGAACTACCTTATTTATGTTATTTTGCTTTTATATATCATGACTTACTTGTTTTAAATAGATTGTAAAATTCTTGATGTTATTCAGATTGATAGCAATGTTGGGATTGTTGAGACATTGGGCGTTAGAAGTTCTTGAAATATTGGTTTGACTATTGGCGCAAAAGTGATGGTTATCTCCCTTATGATGTGTTATATTTAACATCATGGGTGCTGTGAGGTTGAGAGATATTGCATCATGGGTGCTTCCATACTATTAGGTTGAGAGATATTGCATGACGGGTAAATTGTNTGGTAAATTGTGCGGTTTATTTATGGTGGTCATAAAAAACTCCCACTATACGTTTGTTTTGTGGCGTTTGAGCCAACCCCCACAAAATAATTCTTATTGTGGCGGTTTAAGTGTGGGGGTCGTAAAAGACCCCCTCTATACATTCAATTCGTGGCGTTTGTTCCGACCTCCTCAAAAAATTTCTTATTATGGCGGTTTTTTTGTGAAGGTTTTTGATAACCTCCACAAATATATCAATTCCAGGTGTTTGAGAAATTGTTATTATTAAAAAAAAAATTAGTTATTTTTTCCACCTTATTTCTTTAAAATTAAATCAAAATACATATTTTAGTTAAAACTTTGCGAATTAATGCAATTTACGTCAATATCTATACCTTCTAGTTTGTCATTTTTATCTCTACATTTTCTTCAACTACAAAAAGAAAGGTTTTCCATTATTTCTCTATGTCTAACTCGCTAGTTTTTCTTTGATTGTCTTTGTGAATTTCTTTAATTCATCTCTCTGTATTTAGCAAAAAATAACAATGACTTCTATTTCATTTCTTCCTCTTAGGTTTCTTATTTCTAGATTTATACGAAATGTCTACCCATAAATACGAAACATATATAATTTCTAACCCCGTGAGTATCGTGAATCTTTAGGTGCAAAAAAAAAAAAGAAATTTATCTAACATTGGACCACAACATTAGGTAACAAAATAATAATGCAAAATGAGTCATCACAAAAGTTGAAATGTGGCTCAACAAAAGCAAGAAATGACCGTTGATTCAATTTGGTCT